TAGAACACAGCACGTTTGCAAAAACTTGGTCCAGTGGGGCAACAAACGTGTTGTAAAGAAGCTTAGATCAGCTTACACTTTATTTGGGGTAAAACTGAAAGGGGAAATAATTTTATTGTTCGGGTTTCGCAACTAAACTGTCAGCTTGCTAACAACCTGTCTGATCATGTCTCTAGTTTTAAAAAGTCAGATATCTCAGCAAGTACTTTGAGCCAGTGTTATATCAGATAAAACCGATGACAGGAACCACGAAAATAAAACCTGGCTTGTTTTAATGTCTGTCATTAATGTCCCATTCAGTCCCAATAAGCTCAAAGCCTCTGGATTTTTTCTCCACCGACCGCAGAAAATCAGGAATAAAACCTTCGTGGGAGAAGCAGCAGGTTTGTTTGCTGTCTGTGGATCTTGTGTTTGACGTCACCAGTCAAAATATGACCAACAGCTACGTTCCACTGGGTGCCTGCAGTGCAGTTGTGATGAGCTGAATCTGAGCCAAGGCCTCTTCTAAGTCCCCTCTTCAGTAGATCTCCAGCCATCAAACATTACACAATATGATTTAGTTTCCCAGCAGCTGCCACGTAGGATACAGACAGTCGGAGTCCAAATTTAGGAGGCGCAAAGAGCAAAGACAATGGCCACTCTTTAACACGCAAGCCCTCCCAGTCCATCAGCCAGTGACCTTCCATATACTGCATGTGGGAGTCATTGATAAATAGTTGTTAATGAAGGTTTTTCATCTGATAATCCGACTTATTTGCCTTTTTGTTTTACTTATTTCATTCATTCATTCAGAGGGGTGTATTCCTCCCCGACCAATCATCAGTGACTGACGTATCCATCCTCTCTATGTCAATATAAGTCCATATAAAAGCTGCAGTAGTGGTTGCTGGGAACGTATTTAGGAGTTGTTATTTGTGCCTGCTGCTATTTTTCTGTTCCTGTGTTTCTGGCCGTAACACAAGATGATCACCATTAACTCAGCTTACAAAGCTCTGATTGGTGGTTGTTTCTCCAACCAATAAAACATCCATTAGTCTGAAAATTAACGATTATTTTCAATATCAATATCTCAAATTCTACCATTTATTTTCTTGATTTGGTTCATAAAATGAAATAAAACTGAAAATGTCCTAAAGCCAAAGGTGATGTCGTCTTCAGATGTCTTGTTTTGTCCCAAAGCCACAAACCGAGTTTCAATTACCTGATGCATAAGATAAAGAAAACCCCTTAGAGGTGAGCATTTGTAACCAGGAAATATTTTACATTTTTGCTAAAAGACTTAAATGATAATGAAACTGTTGATTAATTTTCTGTCATTGGGAGAGTGAACAGGAAACAGTGAGGCTGAAATCAGTGAGATAAAATCATAAACACTAACGCTGGATGAAGGAAATTTGAATCCAGGGAGGAATGGCAGACTCCGCCACTGACAATGAAAACAGCTGGTTATAGACGTAATTACAGAATGTATTTATACATCAAATGGTCAGCTGAAAAATGCTGGCCATAAATGGTATCAAAAATAGATTTTGATTTCATTAAAGTATGACTTTAAAGGAGGAACAACTCCACACACAAAGGTTTCTTCAGGTCAAAGCTAGCACTCTTTCCTCCCCAGACACACACATGCACATACAAACATCCCTAATTATTACCCTTAATTAGCCAGGAACATGAAAGACTGCTAACACACTGTGGGCAAGTTCATTTTATCATCGCTCAGGCTTTTAAATCAAACTAAAAATACATGCCACACGTGATCCAGATGTCACTGTTATGTGGTACCTGCACATGTGGTCTGCTCTCCTCCACCGAGGCAGACCTGTGAGGGAAAGTCTGCCCTCTGATTTGATTTGCCGAACGTGTCATGCTCTATAAAAAGAACAAGTGAGGCCAGATTGAATTGACAAAATGATTCGGCCTTATAATGATGATGGTGATGATGATGAGAACGCTTCCTAATTGGCCGTTACAGAGTGTGTGTGTGTGTGTGTGTGGTTATCAGTGGGATGAGGCAGCAGAGATCTGTGTTCGTACCACAAGGTGCATTAACCCCGTAATGTGTACTTGTCACCCTCTCTGAAGCGGTGTCGTCCTGTTGTGGTCCGCTACAAAAGACCGAATGGCTGTGCCGTAACGCAGCTACATCACGCCGCTACGCACATCACTCACATTCTTTGGCTTTTTTGCCAACCTGACATTTTAGTGGGCGTTTTATAGGCGGATAATAGGAGGATCAGAACTGGAATTTGTTGAACAAACTGTGGTGCTTTGACTCGGAAACCTTTATTGTGAGTCCACAGAGTCCATAATGCTGCATTCTTCACCCAGGTGAAGCAAAGGGAAACTGGGTTTTTAACACTTTTATCACTCATTTGATGAAGAAAAATTACACAAGTGTCGAAAAAAAACATTTTCAAGATCACCAAACCAACACTCTTCAGCTTTGAGCTCCTTTCCAGCTCACAATATGTAGAATTGCTTTTGCATGTTGTGTGTAAAATAAAAAAATAAAACCTTTTCATATGAGACAGTAGAGATTGATTGATACAGATATGTTTCTTCAACATAGAGAATGTAATTTCTGCTGCTAAGTTAGTTTGGTGAGGTGGTGAAGCAGCGTGGGATCACGGGAGTTGTTGTCTTCACCACCATTGGCGTCATTGCAGTCAGCTTCTCCCGGTTAGGATTCCTTCAGTGTTCATGGTTCAGGAGGTTTCTACCGGGAGCCCAATGATCCACAGAGGTCTCCTCCTCTCCAACACAAACAGACCCGCTGATTAAAACCACTAAACACACTGAATAAAGCAGTTCCACCTTAAAAATCACTGCTTCTCCCACGCTGTTGGACAGACAAAGGACGTCCCGGAGGGGCTGCGAGCCGAGCTGCTGCTAACGTTAGCTCAGCTTGTTTCTTGAGTTCAGCTTGAGTTAAAAAGCACCAAGATCTAAACAGCTGATGGTAACAATGTGGCTTCAGACTGGATAAACAGTCAATGTATGACAGCTTCTGGCGGACAACCACAACGCTGACGCAGGCACAAAGGGGATGTGACGCCATCGACAGGCGACCGGTGAAACGCAGCGTTACCTGGCTGAGTGCACAACTCAACAACATACAGAACATAGGTCTTGTGTTTACAGACATTTTACTGTAGATATGTTACATATTATATCTTTCATTAGGCTGGTAGAGTTTGCATGTTTGACACAGTTTTCAGTTCTCATCCCGGACAGCTGTCCTCCCGTTGGTCGCACATTGAAAGGTCACTGACAGACAAGGTCAAAGTTGAAAATGACTGAACTGTGGGAGCACAATGATAGCCACCATGAACTCCCCAGTTCAAGTCTGGGAGGGAGGGTTGTTTCATGTCGCTGCCAACCTCTCTCTCTCTCTCTCTCTCTCTCTCTCTCTCTCTCTCCCCTCACTTTCTGTTGCCTTTATTCTCTTTATGAAGACTGAACTTTAAGCGTAAAGTCAGAGCGCAACAACAACTAGTGTAGCAACAGCTCATTCATTATTTGGTTTTACTGAATAAAAAGGACCCTTGTGAACACTGATTTGTTGAGTTTTATGTAACCTGGACATCAATTAAGGAATAAAGAGGCAAAGACACACATCAGTGGAGCCGTTGAACTGTTTTAGGTTCCTGGGAACACAGACACAACTGTATTTCTTAAGAAAACTTAAGAAAGCAAAATTCCTGTGCCATGGTCTTGTTAGCTTTTACAGAGGAGCGATAGAAAGCATCCTGACTGGAAACAAACTGGCATCATGGGATGTGCCCGGCCAAGGACAGGAGCACGGTGAGGTGAAGTGTCTGAGCAGGGCCCGAAGGACACAAGAAAGATGTGTTTTGACCTACTAATCACCAAGCCATTGCTCACTGGGTCTTTCACAAACCATTCAGAGGCAGAATCCGGTTTGGACACATGCTTGTTGTCTTACGGGACTGATCACAAATCCTAGTTTGACTGGCAGCTCTGTGTCCCGATGTGTTTCTGACATTCTCCTCATCTGTCAGCGTGCACGAAGAGAGGCTAATCTCTCCTCCGCACGGCTAAATATGAGGACAAACCCCATCTGTCAAACGTTAAAGCCCTGCTGCCAGGCTCGGGTTGCTGCGAACCACCTAACGTGACCCCCACATCTCCCCCCCCCCCCAGTGTCCCGTTAACCCAACTCCAGCACTGGGAAGGTCAAGGTTAGACTGCATGTGCCGGGTCAAATGTGGGTCTAATCCTGTCACAGTTTGCAGAAACAGACGCACAAAATGATCACTAAAACTATGGCAGGAATGCGTTCAAGTTATATTTGACATTAAGAAGTATTGGGTTCATGAGCTGATCCCCAATCCCAAAGATTATCACACCAATTGGTTCACTTTATATTACAGGAGAAGATTATGTAATCTCTGACTGTCAGAAAACAACATTATTGCTGCGAGGACACTGCTAGTGCTGTTATTGATCATCATTACGACTGTCAAACAGGTTAGATTCTGTATTCAGTGTCTGCAGGATGTCCAGTTTAACTGTTTGCAATATCATTTGTTGGAAAATTAATGGTTGTCAAAGTTTGAAACTTGAACCAGTGCAACTATTGATTCTGCTTATCAGTCCGATTCTCTGTCGATTCCCTTTATTGATTCCTGATGAATTTCTGGATGATGAAAACAGTTAAATAAAATACAAAGAAATGAGGATGCGGTCTTAAAGGGCTAAAATGACATTTTTCATCTCTCCTGAACTCGAAGGCAACTTGTTCCACTGACAATAAAATAGCTTGTAGTTTGATAACTGAGCAGGGTCCTGATAATGATTGGTGAAACTCGTTGGAAACTACAGTAATAGAAAAATTGTGCAGAATTCACTGAGCTTGGCTGAATTTGCGTCAACTGTTAACATCGCAACTTCCTGGGAGGGACGCGTAGATGAAGAATAGGGTTCGGTATAACAGGGCGCACTGTAGCTCACCTGGTAGAGCACAAAAACATATTAAAAACCAACAGAAGTTTCAGAAAAAGGCTGCAACTACTGAATGGAACTACAGATGTGAAAGCTGAAACTCTTTATGTAATGTAAAGTGTGGAGCAGCGGCCAGCGAACAGATGCAGGAAATGGAGACACCTCTTTTGGGGATATGATTCATCTGCTCGGCAGCACGGTCGATCTAATTGTACCTTCAAAGAGGACGGCACACGAGGAAGAGAAGTAACAGGAAGGCTGATGAATTATTCAGGATGTCACATAATAACACCATACTGTTTAGAAACCCTCTGTTTAACCTGTTTAAAAGTAGAAAAGTGCATCTTACTGTACAGCAGTCTGCTGCTGGGCTTTATTTTTACCAGGGAAGTAGTTGGGATGAGGAGAGCCTCTGAAGTGTTCCAATGATACTATTTTTATTGTTTTATTGTATTTTTAGGGCAAGGACTCCGTTTCATCCTCTCTACGCGCTGCAAGCTTCCTTTGACTTTGGCTGTGACCTGTTTGTTGACAACACAAACCAGAGATGTAACAAAGCACCCATCTGTCATCCCCACCGCTCTGCATTTTGCCAAATAATGCCACCAATGCAGGCAGACCTCTGCAGTATGCCAGACTCCCAAGACTCACGCAGGAGGATCTGAAAATGACGAAGTGGCGTGATACCAAATATCTCAACAATGGGAAGAAAACCTTCTACGAACGCAGAAGAGGTTGCGGTTAAGGAGAAAACGATTATGCGCCGTCTGATGGCAGGTTTTGTCTCCATCGGTGACAGTGTTTGGCGCCACATCAAAGACGGGTCAGCGGCAGTTGGCAGAGCCTCAAAGTGCAGCTCCGGCGAGAGGCAGCGAGGCGTTTCAGGTCCACTGGATGGTCAGCGCCTCGGAAAATTCCACTGACTCTTTGCAGGCCTGCGTGGCTGCGATGCACAGTAACAGCCTCCGTTATTATTATCATTATTATTGTCATTGAAATGGCTACAGGTGTTCCTGGCTCAGGGAATTACTGTCAGTCCTGTGTCTGATATTTGTGGGATTTATAATATTAGTGTTTGGAATTAGAGTGTTTTTTAGAACACAGCTGCCTAGTGTGGCTGAAAACTCTGGGAGCGGCGAGAGTGAACCAGAGCGGTAAAGTCTCTGTGGCTTGTTTGAGGAGTGGTAATAGTGAGCAGTTAATAAGGAACTGGGACATCTAACATGCTGGTCCTTCCCAGATTATTCCTGAAGATATCGGTGTTCCCGTTCGTGCTCCTATTGTTGTGGAAAGCATTGAGTTACACAGGAGGACGGAGATTTATCAAACTGACGGTATGAATCAGGCGCTGAAAATGTCGCCATGAGCATTACGATATTGCATCAGGAAGTCAGAACTTCCACTCGACCCCGATGGGTAACAACTCTTACTCAACCTGTTTGATACTGAATCCTTCAGAGGCGTCGGAGCGGCTTTGAGCCGTCCTGCCTCAGGTTTTGTCTGGCTAAGCGGGGGTCCGTGTGAAGCAGGAAGACTCGGCTTCAGCCAGAGACAAAACACACAGAGGATCACAGGTCTGGACGAGAGCTGAGTCCGTTTGAACGTCAGGTTCCCAGAAGCCTCGATAAAAGCCAGGGGTTCCGGTTATAGTTCAGGAGAGCAGATTGTGTTTGTGTTGCAGCTCCAAGCTTTTTTTCACTCCGGCATTGTTGCTGTTTCCAGATTCTAGCTGGAGCTCTCAGCTCAATCAGCTGTGCAGCGCGATGTATAAAACACAAATAAATAGTGATAAAAAGTAAACTGTTTGGATACTTGATATCTCAGGGGTTTACACAGAAATAATAGAAGTTGGCCTAACATTTACCTTTGGATGTTTACTCCGCTGATATACAGCGTTATTGTATTCATAAACAGGCAGCGAGCAGAGCTGCACAATAGAAACACAGACGTTCACCTACAGCAGTAAGAGCTGCCGCGCTCTAACCGCTCAACAATGTGCCACTATTCTTCCTATCGGGCAGGAAGTAACCTCAATGTGCCTTTCCTGGTTGCAACTTTAAATTGATAATTCAATAAATAAATGCAATATTAAATGGTGTGACCGGAAAGTGACTCCTTACTTTCCCACCGGCGTCGCCCTTCAGGGACAAACTGGGGCCACCTTCTGTGTTCAGGGGGGGAAAAAAAACAACTTTTGTTTACAAAAAAACTAAATAAATGAGGTGAATTTGTGCCACTGTATTGTATTTGTGTGTTTTCTAGATGCCTGACTTCATGTATTCTCTGTTTCATCCTGTGCTGCGTTGTCTGTTGTTGGTTCAAAGCATGAAATGTGATTTTAAATGATGTCTCATAGAGGAAATATGAAACACAGATCCTGATTATAATAAGCAACTGAAACAACTCTGACTCATTTTCTCTCTCTTCCCCTTTTCAAAATGATCGAGATGAATCAGATACCGTAACTGCTTTATGTCAGATGAATGGCACACACACACACACACACACACACACACACACACACACACACACAGAAGCATCACGTTCAAAGCTCGAGCTCTGACTGGAGCACTGAATCCAGAAGTTGACATTAGTGTCAGTCTTCCTTAATGGTAAACCGAGGAATTTTCCATTGAGTCGGGTTCACGTCCAGTGTTTTTTGTCTTTGTCTGCGCAGTTGGAGAGGAGAGGTAGAGCTGGTGAAGGCAGCATAAGTCTCTCTGCTTTCTCGGAACTGATAATAATTGAGCACAATTTACAATAAAATTCTAATGTTTATCATCAGATTGGAATCCATTTATTGATCACTAACTGCAACTTGGTTGAAATGTCAGTGCTTGATGTCAACAGATGTTAGAAAGGAGACTTTAAACAGTAGCAATGTCTGCCTGCGACCCCTCATCACATATTGTATTTGTCTATAAATTCTCTAACTCAGAGTAATTGTATTTAATCAGATTGTTTGATTTTGATCATTTTAGACCAGAGAGTAAAAACTATCCAGGACAGTTTACAGTGGGTTTATGGGTTTGTGAGTGTTTTTCTTTATAATAACAAGCAAACTGATAAGGCAGCAGCGTTGTGTGGTGTGTGGTGAAAGAAAACATATTTGGGTGCACTATTAAATCCTCTATTTCCCTCTGAGACTTTTCTTTTTGGGGATTTGTAATCCATAGCTAGCCTAGCTAGGAGACTAGCAGCCACTGCTGTAAAGGAGAGCAAAGTATTAAGGACAAGCTGCCCCAGAATGTAACCATTGACAGTTTTTTATAATGGACAGAGGCTCCAGGTCTGTTAAGTGTCTTCAACCTGCAGTCTATGTAAAGGACAGCAGCTCTACTGGCTGCAATAAAAAGCGATACCATTCAGTCTTATGGAGAAATTAGCCTACTTCTCAGTTGATTTATGAGCTCAGTAAACAGTTTCCTGATGAGTTTCTGGTCTCAGTCTCTAGTTTCAGTCTTCTTCTATACAGCATGATGTTCATTTAGTAACTGATGGTCCCATTTAGAGTAAAACAGACCATAAAGCAGGGTATGCTTTAGGGGCGGGTCTACCTTGTGATTGACAGCTCATTCTCAGTGAGTCCGTCCAGCTCAACACACCAAACTCAGATCAAACTGTCAAACAGTGCTGATCAGATATGGATCCAGATTCTGTTTCTGCTACAGTGAGCTAAAAGAGGCTAAAACACTATGTAGTGCTGCAGTCGGTGATAAATCTCTGTGGGTTTGTCACTGCAAGCAACACGTTTACATCACACATAATCATTAGATACAGTATTAATATAAAAAGTATTTATTAGAGGAGCTTTTGACCATTTAGGAACCCAGAAAACGTTTTCTTACAAGGGTACGTACGCCTCTAAAACAACATTTAGACGTCCGGTTTGAATCCCACTTGCGGACTCAGTTTCACTGCTGCAAACGGATTCAACCTTGAGAAATGAACGATGCAGTGGTCATTGTGAAGAGCAGAGAGACAGATAAAGGGAGAGAGGATGGAAGACAGGATGAGGGATGGATGAGCACAATGTATGTCAAGAGCTGGAGAGAAAAGAGAAGGTGTTAATCCCTCATGTGCCAGTAAAGAACGTAGGACGAGGCAGCTGTTTAGTGTCACAGCACGCTGCTGCTGTTCTCTGGCAGCGGTCAGAGAGGAGAAGTTGGTACATTACTCAAATACTAGTATTGTGTGAGGACTGTTACACTCGTACTGCGTTTCAGAGGGAAATATTGTACATTTTACTCCATTTATGTGAAGACCTGAGTTACTAGTTACTTTACAGCAGTGATTCCCAACCTGGGGGTCGTGAGGCCTTCTTGATGTTAAGGATGTAAGAAAACAAAGAAGCCGATGTCTCAGCAGATATTGTGTTCACTGTTTGGGTTCTTTGTACAGCTTATCAACTGTTCTCTACTGTTATTGTTATACATTGAATATAATATGAATTACAAGGACTGCGGAACCGGTAGAGCCAGAGCCCGACCTACTTTGGAACATGGATGGTCTTATTACTTAATTAAAGTCTCTGTATATAATCCTCTATATACTAATATTAAGTGTGTTTGAAGATATTTTACTTAAAGCTGCAGCGGGTAGTTTTAATAAAAATAACTTTTAGTCATATTTGCTAAAACTTTCACTATATCCTGACAGTAGCACATGAGACAGATAATTTGCAAGAATCCACCGGGCCAGAATGAAAACAACCAATCAGAGCCGAGAACGATATAAAGACACTTTGGGTTGGAGGCTCGAAGACAGTTGATTGTTGAATCTCATTCCCAAAGTCTCAAAGCGACGCTTTGAGACTCAACAATCAATCTTTATTTCTAGGCTCTGATTGGCTGTTTTCATTCAGGCCCGGTGGATTCTTTTAACTACCATTAGGAGCAACATAAGGAGCCAGAGGAACTTCAGATTATCTATCTTATGTTCTACTGTCAGGATGTAGTGAACAATTCAGCAAATATAACAAAAAAATGTAGCATAAAAATGACCTACTGCAGCTTTAAGTAGCGATGCCACAATATAAAAAGTACTGGCAGAAAAATGCGCTTAGTATCAAAGTAATAGCAAACATTATGTGGCAGAATGGGTCTGTCAGGGTGTTTATTATATAACTGATTTGTTATTATTGATGCATTACCATGTAAGCAGGATTTTAATGTTGTATCTGGTTGATTTAAGTAAATAAATGCAGTGGAGTAAAATGTACAATATTTCCATCTGAAATGTAAGAGTCAAAGTATAAAGTAGTTTTTAAAAATTGTACTTAAGCACACTAATTTAATAAATATAGTTACTGTACATTCATATTCCACATTACAGTGTTACAGTAAAATGCTAACCTGCCCCTTTCCACATTGAGTTTATGTTTTTAAAAGCAAAATACACATAAAACTTCATTAATCCCCAAAGGTAAATTAATTCCCATCCGACCCTCCCATCTCTTTTTCATGTTAGATGTGTATAATGTGAAAATATAACCTACTTCACTTCTGATCCGTTCTCGTAACACTTGTTAAACTAGCTCCTCAAAAATGAGCGGAAATGTCTTTTTTGTCCATCATCACAAGCCACACAGCATGATTCTGATTGTCCACTGACATTTTATTGAAAAAAGAACAATATAATATCATGTACAATAATAATAATAATAATAATAATTATAATAATATTAATAAAAAAATCTGTACATTCCGTGGTTTTGCAGTACATTTGGAAGACTGATACAAAATAACTGCAACAGGGAGGGAGGTATTTACACATGTAGGATCTATGGAGCCGAGTGGCCGTCCGTCACGGTTTTTCAACAACAAAAAAACAAAGATGCAGGATATAATCTGTGTTGATGCAAACTCTTGTGCAGTATACCTTCATATGCAGGGGTTACAGTACGTTTGGCTTTGAACTAGGCTTTTACATTCTCAAGTAAAACATTACAGAGAATGAAACCTCAAGTAGTGTTGATAAGGAAGTAGGCCCATCTGCAGTCCGCGTACGGCTAAGTGCCAGTCAAAGTGTTTTACTTGGAGATTTGATATTTTTAGAAGACCTTTTCTTTTTTTTATCTCCAATCACAACACTGTATCAGATTCAGGAGATCTAGGTCTCTTTGCAAACTTCATATTTTATAACCTTCAGAGAACGTTTTGCTTTAAGTTGACACCTAAAAAAAAAATCCTCCGAACAAGACTGGGCCACTTACTGAATTATTGTTTCTAGTTCAGCAAACACTACAGATTCTTGTTTACCGTCCTCTACAGTAGTGGTTCCCAACCTTTTTCCTTCAGGGACCCCTTTTCTGTCATTTATTAAACTGACTCAGTGACATATTTTGAGTATATTTCATATTATATTAAAAACTGAACAATGAACCCAAACAGTGAACTCAGTAACTGCAGGACGTTTGTGTAAAACAAGAGATTTGGATGAATTTTGAGCAGATTTTTCCTGTTGAGGGAACTTTTTATACAATTATCTGTCTGTATTATGTATTTTTTTAATCATTCTTAACAATCATAAAATAATTAATAGGCTTCTTTTTTGTGTTTTCTTGTCCCTGGCGCTTTGCCATTGTTCTATTAGATAATTTACATTTATTTGTCTTCACAGAATGAACCAAATGCTGGGATTTAGGCCTACTGTGTATATTTTTAAAGTTTTCTTACATGCCTTAAAATCAAGAAGGCCTGGCAACTCCTCATGAAGCTTTGGCGACCCCTAGTGGGGGTCCTGACCCCCAGGTTGGGAACCACTGCACTACAGTAAAGCCGTTGGCCCTGCGTAGATTTATGCATTCCCCCCTTTTTGACTCTTCAGATTAAGGCTTGATGAAGTGGCTCAAGATAAAGATGATCAACATTAAAAAAAAAAAAAAAAGAAACTGTACACACATTCTTGAAAAACAAACCTTATTAAAACTCCCTAAACATTCTACTTCTCTGTACCAAATCTAACCAGGTGTTGTTTTTAAGAAACACATAACTATGATAATACTCTTTGGCATTTTTTATCAACCGTAAAAAAAAATAAAAATAAAAATAAAGAAGCAACATTATAGCAGCACTTTTAAGAACATTCAGATTCTCATACCCCGGTCTCTGTTTTAAATTAATGATTTTTCTGTCAGTTTGATGCCGTTAATACTACCCTGCTCTATCTCTTGACATGAGCAGGCATGTTTCCATCAGTCCGACCAGCAATGAACAGATCAATAACTGCAAAGGATAAAGCAGAAGATCAGAAAACCAGTGCTAGTCAAGTCAGAGAAAAGTTTCCTACAAGTCGTTTGTTGCATACAGAAAGTTTTCGGTGCAGTTTATTTAGACCTCTATGATGTCTGCTATGAGACCAGCTCGTGAACAAATACTTGTACCTTTGTTCCAGACATCTACCTTTTCGTGTACTCGAGAAAGCACAAAGTTTAACCTCCACTATTTTCTAGCAGCACTTTAGAACATTCTAACTATAAAAACCACCTTTTCTGAAAAGCGCCTTGTTCATGCCGGCCAGAGAAACTGAGACATGCCTGCGATTTTCAAGTCATTGCAACAACCTCTGTCATCTTGCAGTCACCAGACACTGAGCACACATTCATGGGGACTTCATGGAGAATTCTTCCTGCAATATGCACATGGTTCATAGTGCTGTGTTTTGTCATACTGTATGTAGTCAAAGTTCAAACCGACTACTACATACAAAGTCCTAAACCTTGCCGCTTGCCACAGCAGTACCGTTCGGCTTGTCCTCTACCCAAGGCCCAGCTCGGCTCGTTGTGCCTTTTGGAGCAGAGAGGTGATTTTAGAAAATCCCTCACGTGAGGTCTGAGGTCTGAACAGTCATATTTCTGATTCTCGTCTCAGAGGCCGGGGCTCTAGCGGCACTGTGGCTTGGCTGTGTTCGGTCTCTGAGATGTTGTCAGTCTGGGTGCCGTCGGGCCCAACGCTGCCCCCATTCCCCTCGTCTGTGTCCTCTTTGTTCTCCAGCGCCATCTCGTTTTCGTAGCAGAAGGAGTTGGAGTTTGAGAGAATGTATTTTTTCTCTGCAAGGTCTCTGGCACTGCACAGAGGGGTGCTCTGCACCTCGTATGTCTTATGGAAGCGGGAATAGTCCACCTTGTAGTAGTTCTTCTCCTCGAAGAGAACAGGCTCGAACCGATGGCCCCAGAGGATCTCGCTGGCGACGTAGGAGCTGCGGCACTGCGTGGTCATGGCGGTCGCCTCGACCATGCCCTCCAGGATGACCACGATTTCAAACTCAGAGTTTTCCAGGTCCTGTTTGCTCATGTCGTAGAAGGGGCTGTCCTCGTCGATCTCGTGGACGATGGTGATGGGGGAGACCAGGAAGATGCGGTCGACTCCGCTGTCGAAGCCCACATCAATGTCCATCTGATCGAGGGGGATGTACTCCCCCTCTGCTGTTGTCCGGGATTTCAGAAGTTGCGCCCGCACATGCGCCTCAACCAGGTGGCTCTTTCTCAAATTGCCCACACGCCACATCAGGCAGAGCTTGTTGTCCCTCATGGCCACTGTGGCGTTATGGCTAAAAACCAACGTTTCATTTCTCTTCTTGGGCTTTGCCATCTTTGCCATGACGGCGCCAATGATGAAGGCATCAATAATGCAACCCACGATGCTTTGGAAAACCACCATGAAGACAGCGACAGGGCACTCGTCTGTCACATATCTGTAGCCGTAGCCAATAGTAGTTTGAGTCTCAATGGAGAACAGGAAGGCAGCAGTGAAGCTGCTAACATTGGAGACGCACTTCTGAGCGTTATTCTCCAAGTCCCCATGGAATATGGCCACCAGCCAGAAGACGCAGCCGAAGAACAGCCACGACAGGAGAAAGGCGAGGCAGAAGATGATGAACATCCACCTCCAGCGGATGTCCACGCACGTAGTGAAGATATCGGCCAAGTACCGTTGACCCTTCTCGCTCACGTTGATGAACTGCACGTTGCAGTGACCGTCTTTCTTTACAAATCTGCTTTGTGGCTGATGCCTCGTGTGCACCTTGCTCTTGCCGTTCCCGTAGCCGTTGGGTACTGCCATAGTGGCAAGCTTCATGCCGTCCTCCTCTGATGACACAATGCTGTAGCGGCTGGCTCGCACGCTTCCCATCACCTCAGTCTGGGAGGGCTGTGCTGCTTCTGCTTTGGAAAACAGTCTCAGTTTCTGGAAAAAGCGTTGGAGAAACAGTTTTGAAACACTTCTGGGGGACCAACTCGGAGAGGAAATGGTGGCAAAATGAGGCGGGCTGAAGGGACTCTTCAGCCTCACTGGCCTCTAGATGGAGTGCAACAAGAGGAGGATGAAGTGGTCACTCCTCTTTCATCAGCTGACTGGACCTCATCAAGTTCATCTGCTACAAGAAAACAGAGACAGAAAACGTCTGTTAGTCAAACCAGTTCCAGAATAAATCAGAAAAACCTTTTAGAAAATCATGTTCGGGGCATTTGATGACAACATTGTTAAAAGAATGTAATGGTTCCACATTTGAGCAGTTACTTGTTGAACATGACATGTCAGTACCGATAACTTATCATTGTTAAGTCAGACGTGTGTGCAGCCTGAGAAAAACCATCAAAAACTTTATACCCAGAGTCAGCAAAGCTCGCCTGTGCCAACAATATTTCAGCCAGTTATGACAAACAACAACAGTGATATTTAACCCTGATCTAACATTTCAGCTTTCACTGAGAGAGGCCACCCTGTAATTGCACTCCGGTCCCGTTATTGGTCACTTACAAAGTCGACTTGTTTTTCTTGGCTGCCCTGCACTGACTTGATCATTTCTTGCTCGATTGTGGGTTACAGCCTTTCTGCAGGATCCCATGAACTGATGGGTTTTGCATAACCAATGGATCAAGTTAAAAACTGAGAAAGATCTGCAGATAAATGTTCTTATGTCATTTTTTGAATAACATACTGCAAGAAACTGAAATAAACTGAACCAGAGCAACTTCCAAGCTGGATTGTTCACAACAGTGGCTCATTGTTAATGCACATTTTCACATGTAAAGCCTTCTCAAAATCAGGAAAAATTAGAGATGTTCTGCATGTGCAACCTAATTTTAAATCAGTTCGGTTTATCATCAGCATCCAAATGCTAGAAATCTTAAATTTAAACTATCAGCATGCATTTTTAGTTTTTAATGAAGCAGCAATCATCTGCATAAACCAACTTTGCAGGACAGGAGCAGCGAGCTACAACAGTTTACAAATGACATCATGTGAGCCTCGGAGGTTTAGCGTACCGCCTGTCATTTTTAAAGAATCTTTAGGGGACGGTGTGAGCTGCGTCTTACACTGTGCAGAAGAGATGCACAGCTTGTTGACTCTCACAGGGTCCTCTGGGAGTTCTTGTCTCTGCTGCAATAAGGGCAGTCCTGAGAGGATTCTCCACTAGAACAGCACTCATTAGTTTCGGCTGTCCTAGCAACTAAAGTCGAAATCGACCTGCTGCAGTCTCACTGTGCTCTCTTTCTATTTTTTTTTTCTTTTCTTTTGTCAGGATAGATTTCTCTCTGAGGCATGAAAGTTAAATATGAGAACATTATAGTGAAAACTAGGAAGTTCTTCAGATCTGCTGAGTCATACTGAAGTTTCATACCTGCAGAAAGTAAAACTGGCTGATGCAATTTGTCTGCAAGGTTTTTACATACATAACTACATAAAACATAAAATGACACTTTTGTATTCAGTTTAAAAAACACTGCACAAGTTTATATGAGTAGAATCTAACATTGATCCTAATTACTGAGGATGCTGAACTGTAAGCCACGTGTAATCTTTTCTCAGATGATGGTTGATGTGTGAACATTTCTACAAACAACAAAGATTAATTTTTTACAGCCAAATCTATACTTTCTATATTTTCTTTCAAAATGAGCAGAGAGATTCTGTGGAAAGACAAAAGAGTGGCGCACAAATGTCCCTAAATAAAAACCACACCATCGGGATTATTACACTGTTACACTTTTAAAGTGTATTGTTAAACAGCATCTGCCTGCTGGGAGACAGGCTGAGCTGCTCTCAGAATGCAACAAATGCCAGCGACAAATGTTAACAGGTGCTGGGGGGGAAACGGAGCGGACTTCTGATGCAATCATCCACACACACCCCTCACACTCAGAGACACATGCACGTCTCATGCCCAAAGTCAGGGCCGTCAGAAACCCAGGACTTAATCTTCAACAATCATAACATAAGAAGCGAGACCAAATATGAGCGGACAGAGTGAAACTTTTGGCGGGTCATCTGACAGTTGGGGAAGCCGTGCGTAAAAAGCCAGGAAGTCTGTGCGTCACGGAGAATAAAGTAAAGCATCGAGATCTGAGCGCCGCTGTGCCAAAAGATAACAGCGCTGACATGCGTAAAGCACTTGTTAAGAGCATCACATCTCACATGAAAGCACAAGAGTGAAAGAAAAGGCTCGTGTTTCCTCTACCTGTTGCTCATTTGTGGGCCGGTGTGGACTCAGCTCGCAGAAATATAATCCAGACGGTTTTTTGGCCTCCGCGTCCTTTCCGCGCGCTTGTTATTTGTTTTGGCCGAACGAGCTCAAGTGTGAAACTTCCCTCACATCTCCGGAGGACCGGTCTCGGTAATGTGCCTCGCGATGAGTTCCCCCAAAGCGTTTTTAAACAGCACGCACGGCCCGCCCCCAGGCCCCGCGCCCGGCCAATGGCGCGATAACAGCCCGTAACTGTGTGTTTGTGTCATTTCTGTGCGTTTGATCAATAAGACTGATGTGAACTGAATGGATAAAGGGGAGGATAACGCCTGAACCCCATAGAGATGGGAGGAAGGAGGTGAAGGAGTTCAACAACTAGAATATAAAAAATATATATTATAAAAAAAAAATATTCTTGAGGTTAATATCATTTCTACTTAATTGATTTATAACAAACGTACAGGATATATATATATATATTATATTTAATACATTTAGGTCCAGCTCTGCAAAAACAAGTTTGACAAACATGGGTGAGACAAAGATCCATCTTTCCAAAGATCCTCATCAATAATGTATCTTCTCACTGGAAGTCCCTCAGAGTTATACAGTCTGAGATATAATGAGAAAATATTAAATGCTTTAATTTGAACATCCAGGATCATTTATGTCCTGTTTATAATTAGTAACATCATTTTACACAATATTTTATAACTTTTAGCCGATAAAACCGATAAATACCAGTTTACATGTAAATCCCAGTAAAAAAAAAAAAAAAAAAGCAGAATAAGTTTAAACATTATTTGAACTATTTGTTACATGTTAGATTTCAGGGGGTGCTGCTGCCCCCCTCAGCTACCCCCTGCTTCCAGCTTCTTCAGAGGCATTAAAATCTTCAAAAAGTGACTTCTGTGCTTGTTACCACCTGCTGCTGACCGTGTGCAACCCGACTGCCCATCGCCCCCATCTTTGTGATATCCGTTGTTTTTATAGATCTTATTTTTTAATGTGGGTATGGAAAATGTGTTCTGTCGGAAAGAATGACTCACTCAATAAAGGCCTACATGCCTGTATTATGATATGACTGTCTTTCTCCACTGAGCTATCAAGTTGCTTCGGATGTTTAGACTATGCATCTGTTGCCCTATAATTTTAGGTCAGGCTGAAGCCGTGTTGTCTTAAAGCCATTGACTAAATCATTCTTCCTGCTTACTAATTCATGATAAACATTAACCCGCAGCTACATGTTTTTTCAAAAGGGCTTTTTGAACTGCTTGGTTTTTTTTCCCCCTGCGAGGCTTATTTTTAGTTCTGGATATTTATAGCAGCACATATATTTAGCCCCAAACCACCTGTGTCAGTGAAGTGTGCACGTTGTGTGTTTTCTTTCCATGCCCAATTTCCAGCAATAAAGAGAGCGATGCAAGCAGTAGCCAGTGCTGCGTGTGGACCACAAGGTGGAGAGCTGGAGACTGGAATTAACCAGTGATTGCCTCCCACACACACACACACACACACACACACACACACACACACACACACACACACACACACACACAAACATACACACACACACACACAACACACGGCTGTAATGTGAGCAGCCGACAGCAGCACAGGACAGGAGGGAGGAGGAGGAGGAGGAGGAGGAGACTGGATTTGAACTTTTAATGCAACTTGTGTCACTGCAGCATCTAAAGGACTGAGATGAAAGGTGGAAAGAATATAACAGTAAAGATATAAGATGCAATAAAACAAATGACTTTATTTTTAGGCTGCAAGACTAATGATTGAAGATAGACTTTATTAATCCCACACTGGAGAAATTCACTAAAAAATAGAATAGAAAAAGGCCAGATATAATAAAAATAGAGCAGTGGTTGAGTAGTCCAAAAATAAGTTAAGGACTTATTGCTAATCTCACCATTTGTGCATCCATGTTGACACGCACAACGATGGAGATTTGTGTAGAAAAAGCACAAAGACACACGAGAAATACACTAAACACACAGAAAAGAGGTCCGAGCTGCAGTTACGGCTGCTATCTTGGAAATGGATGACTCACTTTCTATCTTACTTATTTAAGTCCTCCAAACTAAACAGCCAATTATGTTTGTGATCACTTTCTAAAAAGACCTTACTCCACCAGGGCTGCAACTTCAGTTTATTTCCATTGCCGATTAATCTGTCTTTTAATTGGTTAGTTTTTTTGTCCATAAAATATCAGAAAATTGTGAAAAATTATGCAGCTAGGACAAGAAACACAATGTCTCCCGCTCTCATGTCTTGTGCTAAACTCGTGTCCCAACACATGTAGCTGCCGGTGGTGATGGGAAGGAAGCTCTGCTCTACTTTCAGGTATCAACCTTATTACTGTTAACTTATCTCTTCCTACAGCCACAGCAAGCTGTATTAGAGCTGAAAGCGATCATTTCCTGCTGTTGCTTCACATTAAAGGTTGTCCACCAGGGTAGCTCACTTGGTGGAGGTGGAGTCCTTACTGTGGCTCTTTGTTGTGTGTCATCCTCTTCCTCTCTCTGTCACCTTTCCTGTCACTCTTCAGTTGTCACTATCAGTAAAAAGACAATAAAAGCCCCCAAAATATATGAAAAAAAATGTTGTCCACCAGTGAACCAGCAGGATTAAGGCTTTTATTGTGAAGCATTTACTTTTATTACTTTACTTTATTACACATTTATACTAGGGATGCACAATATTCATATTCATATAACAATAATTACTTGCGTCTCTTAATTTCATATTTTTAAGCGAAGATGGATGATTAAATATTCCAGAGCTCTGTTCTCAGAATCAGTATCAGAATCAGAAATACTTTAATAATCCCAGGGGGAAATTACTTAATTTCATTATTATTTCAGAATTAAATTTTCTAACCAAATCTAAAAAGACATCCCTTCAAATAAAGTTCATCAAAACATTTCACATATGGCTCCTGGAGTTGCACTGCACTGTTATGTGTATACTGTTGCTTTGAAGGTCAGCTCTTGAATTTATTTGTATTATTTTTATCTATTTTATAGTAACAGTTTTTTTTTTTATCTTTTTTTCTCTTAACCTGTCTCTGTGCTGCTTTAATGTGTGAATTTCCCCCAGGGATCAATAGTTTGTCTCTTCTTGCAGGGAGTGATGGTAAAAGGAGAAACAACCTCAGTTAGGCTCAGGGTCTGAAATAAGCCGGTACTCACCCGTACTGAGCACTGGCAATTCAGATTTTTGTCCACAAGAGTACCCTTACTTCTGACTGAGCACCCCCACCTCCAATGGACACAGCCGTACCCACCACTGAGGTCACCAAGGTCTGGGCCTCAGTAGTTTTTCCCTTTGCAAGTTCAGCGTTTGGACCTCAGTATTTCTAAAACCCTGCGTACAGTGATGCTGGTGAGGTAACCTTTAATGAGGAAAAAAAAGTCCTTAAAAAGGATAAAAGATGTTTAAGGTGCTGAATTAGGGTTTAGTAGGGCTTTTGTGGTCCAATTCAGGCACTGAGTAAGTTATATATGAAGGTAAACAGCACGTTTACTTTGCCATGAGATACTATGGGAAACTTATGCCCAGCACAAGGTGGCAGTGCAACTGTCCCCACCCCCCAAGCATTACGAGGTCTGTGCTGGGTCTCTCTAACAGGATCAGAAGCCGAGGGAACTTCAAACTCGAGCCCCCGAGTTGGAGGTCTGAATAACATCACGAGCTTTTGATTGATCTATTCTGGAAAGATGATAAAAAGAATACATGTTTTTAATGGGATTACACAGTGATGCAAATCAAACCAACCAAGCAGCATCTGGTTACTTTTGTCTGTCTGGTTACTTGACATCAAAGTGACCTTTTGTTCTTCGACGAGAACCATGATCCACCTCGGACAGATAACATGAACATTACAGGAAGCGAAGACACAAACCAGACATTTAAACATCACTTTATTGAAATTGTTGACACTGATATTGCCTTATTTATAAAAATCTGATCTGATGGTACTTTATTAGCAATATTAGAAATACACTTGTTCAGTCTGTTACAGCAGATCCTCATATTCTAGGATGTAAAATATTATTTGTCATTTACAAAAATCTAAGACAATAAACAAGCTTCATCACACTTATTCAGTTCACTTATTTCTGTGTGACGTTCTGGTTGATACTAAACAAATGGGATTCCACCACCACAAACATGAAGAAAACGTACATGTTTTTCATATAAACTCTGCTGACTTTACTCACAATAGGGGACGTTCCTTAAGTCCACCCTCTGACTTCTGACCCTATTTTTTTTTTTTTACATACATTCACACTCTAAAGTTTTGGTCTAATCTCATATTTCTTTACATAATTTCTTTTTACACAGAATATAAACAGTAATACAGTTGACGAAACCACCTCACCACGAGGTCCATTCAGTGGCTGTGTTGGAGCTTCCGTCTGGATCTTGTGATCTTTTCTGAACGTTTTAAAGACTGTTTGCTTTCAGGTTGAGATTGAAAGTTCATTTTTGACCTTGGAAACAGCAGTTGACAAAACAATCTCACTTCAAGGTCCATATAAAGTGTAAAAGCAATTATTTTATCCACTTATATCTTTCATTATTGATAATAAACATAAATCTAAATGTTACAATAATCCTATAAAGATTATAATTATTAAAACCTGTATATATATATATATATATATATATATATATATATATATATATATATATATATATATTCCAAATAACTAGCCTCTGTACATTACAGGTGTTGTATTCTTTCTTTCTTGTAGTTTCGTCACTGAAGGAACGCAGCTGCTGCGGTCGGCATAAATCTACACCAGTGACAGTAAATTCGAACAGTGAGCAGTTTTAATGAAGGGAAAAATAATCAAAACATCCACATAAACCTCTCAAACTGCCCCTGCAGCATAACTGCAAGTCTCCTCTGTCCATTTGTTTTTCCATTGTTTTAATTGGCCAATGTTAGCATGCTAACACAGATAGTAAACATGGTAAAAATTATACATGATATACATCAGAATGTTAGCATTGTCATTGTGAGCATGTTAGCATCCTGACATTAGCATTTAGCTCAAAGCACTGCCTGACAAAGCCACTCGTGTGGTGGTATTAGTCTTAGTCACCATTCAGCAAACAGCCACAGGTTGGAACTGAACTCGGGCCACTGCGGTAAAGACTCTACCAGGTTTGCTACCATGCGCCCTGTGTTAGTCTTGTTAAACTATGAAGGGTTTGATACTCAGAGGACAGATCTTGGCTCGAGTGTCACTTTAAACAAAAATTACACAAAAAACAAAGATGCCACAACTTTGAACATTCTGACAGTGAATGAGATTCAGTAGCAACCTTAACATTCGTCTTTAGCTTAGGTTTCTTTGAAGAAATGGACAATGTCTGACCGCCTCAAACATCATACTTTATTCCTGGACTTGCGAGGTCATTTGGCAGAGTCAAACTGTCTTGATGTTGACTGTCTGCTCGAGATGTTGAATCAGTTGGTTCGGGGCGACTATCATTCACAAGCTCCACAGTTAGCATTGGGGGTTTCAGTAGTTTTACGTGATGATTTTGCCGCTGTGACCTCGGAGAGGGGCGTGGGGAAGATCTAGGAGAATGTCGCGGGGAAGGGCGTGGGGAATGTCGCGGGGAATGTCGAGGAGAGGGCCGCAGCTGCTTCTTGTGTTCATAGTCCTCAGCGCTGACCTCAGGCACCAGCACTTTGGCGGTGTGATTGAACAAGGTGTAATCCACCCTGTAGTTCCTCCTGCTGACCCTGATCATCTCCTGGAACAGCTGACCCCAGAGGATTTCAGCTGGAGTGTACGAGGTACGGGTCTGATGCAGCATACCCGTGGAGTCGTCCGTGTAGGTAAAAGAAACCACCAGCTCGAAGTCTGCTTTACGCAGATCTACCAAGCTCATCTTGTACAGAGGGCTGCCGGGTTCGATCCTGTGGAAGACAGTAGTGGGCGTGACCAGGATGACATCCCTCTGCTGGATGACCAGATCTTCGTAGGTCACGTCCATTTTCCCTGTGGCATGCACCGTGGAGCGGACAATCTGGGCACGAGCCACCCCCTCCACCAGGTGGTGCTTGCGAAAGTCGCCGACTCTCCAGGAAAGACACAAGTAACCATCACGAAGATTGATGACTGCACAGTTGCTGAAGCCCACCGTCTGCGCCCTCTTTCTGGCCGAGGCCATTTTGGCGACAACGATTCCGATGACAAACGTGTCGATGAAGCAGCTGATCACATCTTGCACCGTGACGACGATGATAGCAATCATGCAGTTCTCTGACATTCCTCTGAAGCCGTAGCCAATGGTGGTTTGAGTTTCAAGCGAGAAGAGGAAAGCAGCCGTGAAGCTGCGCACCTCGTACACGCAGGGGTCATTTGTGTGGTCTTTCATGTCACCGTTAGCGAGAGCGATGACCCAGTAGAGGATGCCGAAGAAGAGCCAGGACAGGATGTAAGATAGGGCAAAGATCAGGAACATCACCCTCCATCTGATCTCCACCAACGTGGTGAAGATGTCAGTCACAAACAGCAGCCACTCTTCGGGAACATGGCGGAACACAACGTTACAGCTGCCTTCTTTGCGTATGTACCGGTATTTCTTTGGCTGAGGTCCATTTTCTGTCTTCACACTGATGTCTTCAGTCGGACTCACTGATGCATATTGTTTATGCATCTTCCAGGAAGTCTGTAGGAAGATAGCAAAGAACGGTTAGCAATTTGGTAAATATCATTATCAACACATCGACTTTGAGCCTTTACGTTAAAGTCACTGTTTAGTATTTTAGTTGTTTGCCTGTCGCAATGTATTCTTTTATGCTACCATTGGGGGGCGACAGAATCTAAAATTTGTAAATAATACAGTATATGAAGACCAGCTAATTGGTAATATAGTCCCTCCAGGATTTGGCAGGCTTTTTTAGGGATTGTTGAGGCCTAAAATGATTGATTTCACGACAGCTTTTATAAAACATCACAATGTTTTTAGCCATTTTTTTGCAATTAAATTGCGGGAGAAAGTGAAAATTGTAAAAAATAGTTTCAATTTTTGTAATTTTTGTACCACTATGCTTTTAATCTCAGACATCTGGCCCACTGGTCACTTCCGCCGGAGAGGGCACCACCTTGGATTTGAACTGAGAAGTCCTTCTTGTATTCATCTCTGCCCAGCCACTTTGGAGTGTTAAAACTCATCCTGTTATTTTGGATTTGCAGATGATACAGTGAAAACAGTGTCTGCAAACTATAACTCAGATCCTTACTGTTCCCTTTAACATGGCTATGGCTTAATCCAAAGCTTCGTATAGGTAAGAAACCCTTTTACTGGAAAATGTGGGCTTATATGAAAAATATAGTGTCCCAAATGTCCTGTGAATTTACAAAGACCTTTGTAGTTTGTTGGTTTGTTGTTCAACTGACCCAAAACACTGAGAGGAGGTCATTAGAGTAATGCAGGTCACAACAGCAGGAGCAGACAGACGAGTCTGAAAACAGCGACTGAAAGCTGTCTGATCTCTGACCCACATGAGGACGTTGAAGTTCTCACTTGCAACACGAATACACCAATCTGACACGGAAATACAGACTTTTGTTGGGGCTGTAAGTAAACCTCTGCACTAGTTTAGAGGACTATTAAAGAAATATGCATTTCACACAGATTTTAGTTCCATATTAAAGCACATATGCTGTAGTATTACATATAAAGACACAAAGTAAGTATAGATTAATTCATGTATTGGCCAGTATGTGTGTTTCCACAGTTGGAAAAGGAAATTTGTGACAATGAGTAGAATTTATGCAAATCTTGTGTAAAATATAAGTTCAGAGTCAACAAAAGTCATTTAAATTGACTGTTGTCATGCTGCAACTTCTACACAGGTCATTCAGAATACACCCAAAGGGCTTTCCCTGTTGCTCTGATACAGAAAACAGCCATTCACCTAAACCAGTCTTGCCCATTTTCCGACTTTTTCTTTTCCAGCCGCTATTGTTGGAGGAAACGATTAACAGCAGAGTCTTCCGTGTATCAAAAACATTGGCAGATGACTGGAAATCTCCAACCTCTCGCTCTCCCTCCTGTAGTATCTAATATAAATACATAATGAGCAGCACTCTGCTGACAGCAAAAAAAATAACTGACAAGGGAAAAAAGTCTATGTTTTGATGCTGGTTTTCATTTTTTGTTTGTTTCTTTTCCGTTATGGGTTGTACTCATAATTTCATTCACATGTTTTCTTTCATATTTTGTCTCCAATTTAGTTTTTTCGTGCTTTGATTGCTTTGTAGGTCTATTTTTAAGATAGCAATCTGGGAATGTTTACCATGCATGATTTTCTTTTTCCTGCCTCTTTCGTACTGTGTCAATACATTTAATCATAACGGGGCAGTTGCCTGGAGATGCAGAACCCATTGCAACAGTTGCTTGGGCTGCAGCTTGTTTCCTGCTGCTGATGTGCCACCGATTCTTTTTATTCTTGTGCAATAAACCGAAGGCACATAAGGTGCAGCACAAACCTGAGCTCCACAGAATCCTTGCAGTTTTATAAATATCTGCACTCTACATTTAATGCTGCTGATGGGTTTTACAAATTGAGCAGATGCTATAGTGCATTAAATGCATTTAAAGTCACTTTTTGACTGTTTTATCAGCGTCTGACTAGCATTAGTTGGTTTAAACAGCTGAAATTATGTAAATGCATCAAATGCTGTACAGATACAGAAGACTTTTCTTTAAATCTACTTAAACAATCTGTTTATAGTAGGATGCTTTCATCCCCAGTAACATTAAACTCTCTGTAAACATACAATAATGTTTCCATGCAAAGATTCGCTGTTGTCCAAAGCAATGTCCCAAGACCCTTTTTTTTTTTTTTTAAATCTGGGTGGAGGTCAAAGAACTGTCAGAGGGCCAATAAAGGAAGCGCCACAGGACCGAACTGGTCTAAGTTAGCAGGGGAAAAATGAATGTGGAAACTGGAATAGTGTCATGGTGCGATCACGGGCAGAGGAAGGATCAATCACAGCCAAACCACTGAGAGCATCCTCTACGCCCAAAACAAATGGGGTTTGAATCACCGCTATCTGACTGAGTGAACTGGGCTCCAGTCACAGACTCCACTTTCTCCTGGCTACAGCGAACATCCCCAATGCCAGACTGTGGAGCTCACTCCATGAGGTCATAGAAATAACGTCCTATTAGCTTCCCATAATCCCCTCCTAAATACCCTGATATGGACAAAAGGAGAAAAATGCAGCATCCTACTGGAAAATCCAAGAGACGCTGAGTGACTGCAGCATTCGTAGGTTATCAGTCTGAAATCAAACCTCAATCTGCAGATTTGTATTCTCTTAAAAAATGATCAAACATGCAGTTATCTGTTCTTCCTCAGTAGCACTACACAGGTATGCTGTCTGTTAGCTTATTGATGCTGTTCTGTGCTTTTACAACTTTGAATGAACTTGAATTTCAGTCTCAGCTGCAATGATCAGTCGATGGACAGAAAATGATCTGGCAACTATTTTCAGTTGACGTTCATGGTTTTGAGTGAAATATCTTGACTCCATTCAAATGATCCTTTAACCTTTCATTTAGCACCATAACCATTAATTTGTCCATTACGTCAGCCTCATATGTAATAATTAACAAATTTTAGCTTGCTAACATGCTAAACTTAGATGGTACACATGGTTAACATTACTTCCTCTACAGCAGAGATGCATCCATTTCGGTATTGATTCACCGTTTGTAATAATTTTTTAAGAAAAAATTTCCAATTTCTGAGATTTCGGCTTCTCTAATGTAAATATTTGTATAAATATTAGTTTCTTAAGCACATTTCACTTTTACACTGGAATATCAATGGATGGACTTTAGCTTATTGTGAACTCAGAGTATCCATTTTACAGCCAAATAATGCAAATAATTATTTCTTTAAATCAAACTCATCTTCATGAGGAAAATGTCCCTGAACTGGAAGGGTATTTATGGTTTGGTTTAAATAGGAAAACACATCACAGCATTTAGAGCATCAGGAGGGGGTAGGGTTGTTAGGAAGATCTTATTTATTTCAAGAAGTCGACGGTATTATAGGCCTTTCATTTCAGTACTGAACTGCTATATTTAACTTCACTGTCATAAAACAAATATCTTTATAAAATACATCATATTTCACAATTAAAGCTGCAGTAGGGAACTTAAACAAAAAAAAAGCTTTTAGTTATATTTGCTGAATCTTTCACTATATCCTGACAGTAGTACATGAGACAATTAATGTATGGAAAAATCAGCTTCCTCTGGCTCCTCCTAGTGCCTCTAATGGCAACTGCAAGAATCCACCAGGCCCAAACAAAAACAACCGATCAGAGCCGAGAAAGATAGAAAGACACTTTGGGTTGGAGGCTTGAAGACAGTTGATTGTTGAGTCACATTTACAGAGTCCCAAAGACTGACTTTGACTCTCTGACAATGAGACTAAACAATCAACAGTCTTTCTTGGCTCTGATTGGTTGTTTTTGTTTGGGCCTGGTGGATTCTTACAAACGTCATTAGGCGCACCAGGAGGACCCAAAGGAACCTGATTTTTGCACACATTAATTGTCTCATGTACTAATGTCAGGATACATTAAAAGTTTAAGCAAATATGACAAAAAATATTTTTATAAAAAATGTCCCGCTGCAGCTTTAAGTGTTAATGCTGCAGTTCAAACAGTAGTTCTGCTCCAGTTGTCATCAAAGAAAGTGAAATAAATGAAGTCTGAGCCCTCGCGGGCACAAAAGTTAAATTAGGATCCTGCCACTTTGTGTCATGTGGTCAGCTAATAAGCTAAACCTCAAAAGACACAATTAATCCGCTCTTAATTCCACATTTTTTAACGTGATGTAACTGTTGTCGTAGTGATTTTGACCATAATAGCATCTGGAGTATCGGGCCATGAAAATACTTTTTAATTAACACTGAATGTTTTTTAAATGGTTCAAGATACTGAGGAAGAATTTCCACCACTCACAAGTCTGCTTAATATACCGGCGCAATATATAAGGGATTCTGTTGTTTTTCAAGCACTAAAATGCTCTGCTAATTAAGTAATTAGCATTGTTACTGTATCGTGTGGTTTTCCCCCCACCGAGCAGCACTTTTCAGTCTGCCCTGATGGTTCCCGGTATTGTGTTGACCCACTAGGTTGAGCTGTTTTCTCCACATTCACTCTGTGGAGCTTATGACCTGAAACAAGCAGCTCTGTGTACAAAACAAGACATCAGACAGAACAACCACTTACAACCAAAACACGTCCTGACCTTTGGCATAAAGTTTCCACTGCACTTTCTCTGAACAAAGCCACGATTCTTTATATTCCTGAGGTTTGTTGTTCACAGTAAGATTTTCCAAGAGGGTCCTTTTGTATTCTAAAGTTAGACTAAAGGTCTGTCATCCACTGCTGACAATAGGGATGGAAGGATGAACTCTGGAAACAACTTAGGCAATTGGCTTGTTTCCTCTCCTGCTTGGGGCACTTACAACTCCATTACATGCTCACTTACTGCAAATGACATTGTGCCACCCATCTGTGGCTCACTGGAACAGAACCGGGTACACGGGTGGCTAGTCTTAGCTCTTGCCCTGGGGCTTTCTGCCACCTCTAATGACCTTCGAAACCTCAACGCTGCAAAATATTTGCGTCTTAGCCTCTCGCTCGTTTGTCAAATGACCCGTCTGGCAGCGCTCCACTTGTTTGAGGACTTTTTCTAGAAACAAGTGTCAAATTTGTTGTCGCTGATCTGCATTGGAAGTCCTCTAAAATGCCGTTTAAAGGCCAGAACGCTTTTACGTGATCAGGTCAGGGGTTGTGTCGTCTGTTCCTGAAGGTTAATGGTTTATCCAAGCTTCAAAGTGCCAAGTGGAGCAGAGCGCGTGTTTGGTTTTGCTCCATCAGAAATAGCGTTTAATGTTGCTTTTAAAGAGGAAGCACTTGAAACCAGACGCAGGATTTGTAGGCCTGTAACTGTTCGTATATCAGTCCGTTTGAGATTTTCCTCTCTTACTACTGCTGTATGATTTGTCTTTAAGACCAACGTGACCTTCAGAATTACCAGTCTAGCACAACTCAGTGTTTTAAAGCTCAATAGTCTCATATTTATGAAACAGAGTCAGTCCTGTTGTGTCAGCAGTGATGCCTCTTCTTCTTCCAATTTGTGCAATATTAACTGTTTTCTTTCGCATGACATCTGAATTTTATCAGATTTCACTGTGAAACACGATCGCAAACATTACTTATCACCTTGAACACATCTTGTTTTGTGTTTTAACCATTCAGGCATTGTATTACCACTCTTAATACTGCAGCTCGGGTTACCGATTGTTCTACTGTCCACAACCTTCACTTACTTGTTGCCTCAGCTCAGTTTGACACCTTCAAACAACCAGCTACTTGTAATTTTATAGTATGCATCTGGTTGAATGGTCAAGAAGGGTCATATATGTTATTCATAAGCCACTTTAAAGTCTTTTTAAGAATGTACATTATTTTCCAGAGCATTTATTCTGAGTAAACAGTAAAATAAACACTTTTTTTTTGTATCTAAATGCTTCCACGAGACCAACATATCTTCAACAATTCACAAGATTTCACAGAATTCACAGATCTCCACATTTAATATTGAATTTAACAGTTTGACATTGCAATTTCTGCATAAATGTAACAGAAACAACAGATTTCCCAGATCGATGCCTACCTTGTCTGTAACAGTAAATGCTGGAGGAGCTGCAGGAACGTCTGTACCTGGGGAGGGAAGCTCTCCGAGGGGCTGTACAGTAGCGCCAACAGTCACCTGGTGGAATGAGCCGGGCCTCTTGTCACTGCAAAAACTAAAGATTAACACCTCCCTTCAGCATCACATGGTGTCACACAGACAGGTGAGTGTTTGTATCTCTGAGTGTGTGTGTCTGCAGGTGGATGTGAATATTCATGAGTGTGAATATTCATGAGTGTGTGTGTGTGTGTGTTGGGCTTTGGTGCATGATTGCACTTTGTGATATGATACCTTTGTTTAAAGCAACACACTGTTTGGTTGTTTAGGAGAAAACTACACAAGTCTTTCTTCTTATTCCAATATTATATTGACCTAAATGTTGATTAAATATGTATCTCATATTGAAATAACAGCTGCTGTCTACTTAATTTAGCACCACTTATTCTTAAAAAGTATTAAGTTGAAAAGCTTGAATTAAGATATAAATGAAAGTTTAACTTGGAGAACAGGACTACTGAAACTGAGGTGACACACAGAGACTTTTTTGACAAGAGGAGCACTGACTTGAGCACTGGCCTTTCCAGTTTTTCCATCACTAAATTTTTGCCTCTTTCCCAACATGCTAGCATAACATTGGTTAGTACCAATATATGCGTTGGGTCATTTAGTTTAATATGATGTCAGTATCTTCAGTCTACTTTTAATACAGAGCCCACTACAGCCTCTGAAAGACAGTGCGGAGTGGAAGAAGAAAGGGGTGGAACCTGGGGTGGCCAATCAGATTTCAGGCCCTCCCTCTGGACACGCCCCTGGTGACACAATCAGTCAGATCCTTTGACTCCAATCCGAGCGTCAGTCACTCGCCCTGGTACGCCCAATTCATTTTTTTAAATAATATTTATATGGATTTCTCAACATTCCCACATCAATGAAACAAAGACCCACAATCTGAACGACAAACCAAAACAGAACCAAACAAACATTTTTCACATTCACAGTTTCACTGCACATACGGGATGAAACGTCACGGTGTCGGCTGTCGGCAGGCTGAGGTGAACAGCAGGGGTCAGTGAATAAAGGATCGGACTTTTATCGGCTTTATCTTAGTCGATATGATCCATTGAAAAATACCCGGACTGGCCCCAAAACACCATCACGTTTTCCAGAGAAAAACATGATTTGTTTAGTGTGGACACAATTCTTCTATCCCTCACGCTCATAAACACGTTCAAATAATGTATTTAAATCTATTTATAAATACACCCAAAAGTGGAATTTACAGCCACGCAGATAGTTTTGGTTTCATTTGTCTAGTTTTTTGCCTAAAATAATTAGTTATTTAATCAGTTAGTCAGTGGACAGAAAAATTATTACAACTAATAATCACAACGTTTTATTGTCTCTGTCTATTTTCCAACATCTTATAGAGTAACATATACAGCCTATACTGTGTAACCATCACATAATCCCATCGGTGGTATGCAGGGAGGTTTCAGGATTTTAAATTCAAAAAGAAAAAAGAGACTGAGGATTAGTGTGGGATTGATATTTGATATTGGCCAGTACACTATGATTAGATATTACTTTCTGTTCTATTCCATAATACAAACCTACCAGAAGGTTTAGTTTCTACTCAACTTAATCTTTAGCAAAGTGTCAGTTACTCCGACGGAAGCTTTGCTTTTCCTGCGCATGGACAACATAAAACAACGTTAACGTTTTTGCTGCTCTATTAGAATTTGATCTCCTCTTTCATTCATAACAGCAAATTACAAATTGGTGAACACTGTCCTGTCTTTGTGCCTCTCTTTTTCAACGACTTGACCAGAGATCCCTTATTCCCAGCATGAGACTCCTTAGAGAGCTTAACTCAAATATCTCTGCCTCGCTTAATAACCACTTTGCAACCGAACTCATTGTCCCTAGCTGAACAAAAAAAAAAAAAGCCTAACTCAGGTTTCAAACATAGAAAACTATTGACAGTCAGCCTGTGGTTGGTGTGGAGAAAAGGCTTGCAGGTCTTACGTATTGTGATAACACGGGCGGTTTTTCTTATGTACCCACAAACAGATCTGGGACGATGGAAATGGGAGACTGCTGTCAGGTCAACGTGACATTTCCATCCTGGTGGCGTGTTAATGTTTATTGTATGAATAGTGTGTAAGTGTCAGAGCACATGGCTACTGAACAGTGTTGTGTAATGGTGTTTTGTGCCTTTTAACTAGCCTTTTGAGCCGCCCTCACTTTCTCAGCACACACTGTAGTTGGGGAAAGGTGCTGAATGGATAAATAAAAAGCCGGAGGCAGGTACACATTGCCATAAAAATAGAGCATTGTGCAGCTTTGTTACGACAGAGGCTGAAAATGAAACTTGGTGTAAAGAAAAAAAAGTCAGTGTGGGTGTTGGAGTAAGATGCCACTTTCAGATTATGTAACCCTCTATCTGGAAGGTCAAGTGTGTAGGATTTAGTGGCTTCTAGCCGTGTCCGCAAAATGCGTGAAATACAGAAAACACGATTCTTATATTCAGGTGATTATACTACATTATAATGAAAACAGTTATGAATATTAAATTTTATTTCTGACAATAGATTCCTAAATGTTACACACAATTTTTGGATTTACTGATACGAGTCGGATATCAGTTTTAACGTTATAGATGTGACTACATCAGTATGTGGACACCTGGATGGATGTAAATGTAAACTTGATGGTCTGATTCTAAAGTCATGAATCTGTTGACTGAAGCTTTGCAGCAAACAGCGTCTCCACTCTACTGAAAGGTAAAAGGTCAACGCCAGGGTCTCGCCACAAGTGCTACGAGAGTAACGTTAGTGAAGCGTGGCTCACACGATTTACAGTGCGCCATCAAATCTGAAAAATCGAAAGTTTGGAAGACATTTGGATTCTATAAGAAGGAATCTCGTATCTCACATGTTCTTGCTTGTGCTAGCTGTATCAGCATCCACAGATTCCTCGCCGCCTTCGTAGGTGTCAAGGTACAGCTAGCACGAGCAACAACACACAAGATATATAACACTTTCCAGACACTTTTATAAAGTTGGTTTATTTTAATTTAGAATGAAAAATAAATGTCTACATTAAACAAATGTTAAGGACTGTATCAGATTGCATCGAATTGTTCCAAATTAAATCATATCGTAAACCATAATAGAGCTCTATGAAATGTTAGCTTTATTTACACACTAACTTGCAAACATTCATCCTGTAATATTTCGCTTTTAAGAGTCATTAAGGTTTAACCTCTGGGGACCATAGATCTCGTTCTCATCTGTAGTTGTAGAGCTCTCACTCTGGACTCACAATCACAATCTCCTCATTCTCATGGAGTCCCAGTGGCTAAAATAATACATAACACATTCAAACAGCTTTAACCACGAGGTACGACTGAGAGTTTGATGAGGTTCTGTGGGTCATTCAGTCATGAAACTTATCCTTCCAGTGTTTTGCTGTGACAGCACTAAATGCTCACTGGCTCCTGCTGCAGGAAAACTAAGTAATTCAAGCTATTTGACACCTTTGTAAAATCTGTAGACTAAGAGGGCAAGGCATATGAAATGACTCAATGGTTTTATTTTTCTAGTTGGAGAACAGTGGGGGGTCCTCACAGTAAATTTCTCTGGGTGTCTAAGAGTATGTCTGTGAAAGAACGCCAGTTTTTATGTTTATGAACCTGACTGCATTCTTTAAAAGTGAAGAAATCTGTGTGTGTGCATGTGTGTCCACGTGTCCATTTGTGTCTGTGTGCGTGGAAGTGTTACCAGTGCACACAGTTGGTGGGTTAACGGGGGTCTCAGCAAAAAGTGGACCCATAACAAATCACCTCATTTCCAGGAAAAAGAAATAATTTGTTCCCAATAAAAATGATCCACAAAAATACATGAGCACGATGTTGTGCGCAGAGCTCTGATCAAACGTTCGAACACGAAGCCAAGGCACAAAATTAAAGAGGCCAGAAAGATTTCAGGGTGTGAAATGCAGACACTGGCTGCTCTCTACGCGTAGACCCTTTCCAAAATTTCAATAAAAAAGGAAGACATTTTTAAATAACAAAAGATTAGTCAGGATCTTTGCTGACAAGTTGCATCACAGAAAAGGTGAACTGAGGTAGCGGTCGATTTCAGTTTCAATGTATTTTTCTTCAAGTGAGGCACAGACTCACACAGCGTCAATATGGAAACTATGTACCCAGTCTGCAGGGACTCCTGCACCTCGTGATGGGTGAAAATGAACTAACGAATATTCTTGACCGACTCTTTTTAGTGTCTATAGTTACCAGGTCAGCCTGTCAAATGTGAACTCACTGTAAATGAAAAAACATGAATCCCTGACTTTTCGTTGATAAGACCACTGAGTATATAAAATGGACAGAGTTTAAACCTGAAGTTTATGTAATTACCAGCAGGGGGCAGCTCCATTGGCTGCAATAACACACAGATATCATTCAGTCTTACGGAGAAATGAGCCGAACAGTTTCCTGATGAGTTTCTGGTCTCAGTCTCTAGTTTCAGTCTTCTTCCATACAGCATGATGTTCATTTAGTAACTGATGGTCCCATTTAGAGTAAAATAGACCATAAAGCAGGGTATGCTTTAGGGCGGGGCTACCTTGTGATTGACAGCTCATTCTCAGTGAGTCCGTCCAGCTCAACGCACCAAACGCAGATCAAACCATCAAACTAGGCAGTGCTGATCAGATATGGATCCAGATTCTGTTGCTGTGTTGACTATTTCTCTCCTAAAATCTGTTCACAAACATATTTTACTGTTTATCTGAAATACCAGATCGTGTGTGACCAGGCGAGCTGCCATTGTTTCCTGTGAAAACTGATGAGAGCAGCTCAATTCGCAGTATGTCACCTCCGCTGGCTCTGACAAACTGTCATGGCGACAACCAAAATGTCAAACTCAAGGCTTCAAAACAGTACTCCACAAACCAATGGGTGACTTCAAGAGAGGTTCACACTTGGACTCAACGTATTGCTTCCAACCATTCCAACCAATCTCCAGCCCTATATGCCACTCACACTGCCCACGCCCACTCGCTGTCATCATAAGATATTGCTCACGCTGCCTGCTACGGTGG